CCCTTAATACGCGCCTGGAAATATGTGACGGATCCGTTATAGAAAACCAAACAAGAAAATTTCGTAAAGTCAAGATTCATTGAATTTTATTACACTTGTTCCCGTATTATTTTTCCTAATTGTGTAATAGTACAGTAGAAAATCAAGAACAATTTTGGGGTGAAAATTGAATTCCAAAATGTTTCTCGTGGCGTTGAAAACGTTGTGTCCTGTGTGCTGTCTGAGGTCCTGACTCGCCTCGCTATTTCGGCCGTGATATAAAGGGATTATGACACGGGCAAGCAGGCGCTTCCACGTAGTTGCCGCTTCCCTATTTCCCCTACACAAAATTAACGCACACACGTACACTCTCACGCTATTTCGCACAAATGCTCAATTGGTACGAAAATCAGACACGTTTCTTGTAAAAGTATAAAATTTTGCCCACAGGAATCAACGCATTAATAACGCACAGCCGGATACACTAGCAAGTTGCTAGTATCAAATTACATTGAAACAGCAGCATAAACCAATAAAATCTAGAGTCAGATGTGAGTGGTCTGCAACAGTAGTGAACTTTGATTTTTTGCGCACTTAAGAATTAAATCACTGGTAATCGTGTCAATGAACGCATGTCCAAAAAAATCAACTTTTTTATTTAAAGGTATTTTGACACGAAAACTATATATTCTGAAAATAGACCGAAATTCAATCGACTCGGTTTTTTGGACATACGTTCGTTGGCACAATTACCAGTGAAATGCAATTTGAACACTTTTTTTCCTAGTTGACACAGTTGGCACAAGCGGCGCAGGGCGCTGATCTCGTGTCGCTCGTCACGCGCTTTGCCGACGGTCTGCCTCGTTCGATTGGCCAATTCTGTCGTCTTTTGTCAGCACCATCGACTTTGCAAGGCAGTGGGCGTCCGAGCAAAAAAAAGAAGACCGCGAGTTCTTTGAACGGGAAGGAAGGGGATCATCTGGCAGCGACCAGCGAGTGATTCTCAAAGACAAGACCAGGATGTTCTCCCTCCTCTTTCTTTTCTCTCTTCTTTCTTTTCTTGCGGGCAAATCCATTTGTACGCAGGCTTTCCTGAGAGGTATCACCCCTAATTGAACGAGCGCGACAGCATGGTGACAGCCGTTCTGTGGCGGGGGCAAGGACCTCTTCACACCTCAAATATGGAGCCAACGTACAATTATTATTATTATTGTTTTTTTTTAAATTGTGAACGTGTTTCAGGGCCGTGGTGAGGGAGTTGGTGGAGACAGAGGAGGAGTTCGGCCGCGACATGCGACACGTCGTGGACCGCTACATGGCACCTGTCGACGCGCCCTCCGTGCCCAGGGTGGTGCGGGACAACAAGACCCTCGTCTTCGGCAACCTGAAGGAGATCGCAGAGTTCCACAACACGTAAGATGCTGCTGGCCACAGAGGCGAACAACACGGTGCATTTTTCTTGCGTCGCGCCTTTTTTTAGACAGCCCTTTATAGCCCGCCGCTGAAGCGGCACGCCCAGCTTTCCGTTCCAAAGCGTCCACGGACCTGAGCAGACAGCATAACTGTTCTGCTGCCCACTGCACACGACCTGTCGGCCGCTCTCCTGTCCCCCGAACAGCGATAAAAGCTGTCCGTCTCTAAAATAGAAGGCGGGACCGGACGGACAGGGGCCTCATAAAGACGCACTCAAATCACGAAATGGATGTCAAAGACACCATAAACCATTCGCCATTCTGTTTGGGCTTCGCGTTACTATAGTACTTAAATACACAAGTTTTGGTGGTTTCAAGTTTATCCGAGGTTTCAATGTTAGTAAACCTAAAGACCTTTCTGGCTGCTGATTATTTTCAAACAGTTAAGAGCAGTTAATATAGAAGAGGCACAATGACTATCAAAGCAGAAATTGTTGCCTCTGCAGTTTATTTTCCAGCCTCCATTTTTGGGGGGCTTGTGTGGTAAAATATATTTTCAGCCTACTTAATAATCCAGTGACAAAGAATTTCTTTTTTATTCTTTGTTGCAAATAACAATGATAAATGAAAGGGTGCTTTCGCGTTGACATTTTAAAATATTCTTTATGTTTAGTCAAAAGGTATTTAAGGGATTATCTGCTAAAAACCTTTGTATTTCAGGGTCTTGATTGAGGGCATTAAGTACTACGCCGACGAACCCCGTATGATCGGGAAAACCTTCTTACGACTGGTAAGCAAAGATAATAACATTACTTTACGTAGCCACATGATCCTTTGCTCCAACTTTACTCCCGTGTAGTTTGTTTTTTTCGCGAGCCACTTTTTCATCCACCAGCAAACGCAAACTGGGTTCCGGAAGTTGTGCGCCAAAACCGCATAGTCTAATTTGAGCCTTTTTTTTTCGACCGCGGGCGCTACTGTTGCGGTGGCAGCTGCTGCAGTGACTGCACCTCCCGCACCTGCTGCAGCTGCCGCAGCTGCGGCTGGGGGCGTGTTGAGCGGCACTGTTTACACGCCGGCCCATCACCCCGCGCCGCTCCGCCCCGCCGCACTGCCCTGCCCCACCCTGCCGGTCCTAGGGCCGCCTGCCTAGCCCGGTGCACTCTGAGAATAACGCCTGTCCCTTTCGGCCTTCCTAAAAAATTAGAAATAAATAAAAACGCGTTTTTATAAGGGGCGGGATTATTACATTACATTCATTATTTCCAGCATAGACTAGGGGGACCGCAACTGCAACTCCGGAGAAACTATAATTTTATTGCAGCCCTTATTATGGCAGTGTTTATGTTCTGTTCAATTCACATTCTTGTCCTCTAGGAGCGGGATTTCGACAAGCACGTCGCATACTGCAGAGACGAACCCCAGGCGCAGGAGTTCCTGCAAGACACGCCAGTGGCCAGGGATTTCTACGAGGTAAGCTCTGATTCAGGCTTTCTTTCTGCTGCGGGAAAAATGACTAAACCATCGCATTAGAGCGTAACTTAAATGCGCAATGAAATGGATTCTTAGACTGGATTTTGACCATTACAAACCAGTACACTTTGTAGATAACTGTGAATCATGAGCAAGAGCAAGCGAAGCTGTTATTGTTGATAACTTATTATTTTAGATATAGTCAGGACGAGAAACGTGATCTACTTGACTAACCAACAGTCAGTTGGCGGTTAGGGGGCAGTTTTCACTACAACTAGGCCACTTTCACGGCTTGAACAACAAACGACCGCGTTGATGAGTTTGTGTGTGTTTGTGAGTTTGTGTGTGCGTGTGTGTGAGGTGGTTTGTGGTGGGGGAGAGGGGGGGGGGTCTGACCCGTGCGACGGTTTGTGTGGCTGCATGTGTTGAAACCATGTGCAAGAACAAGCCCTGCAAGACGGTGAGACGTTTGAACCGAAAAGAACATGACAGACGAGAAAGAAAACAAGGCGTTTGTTGAGAGCAGCGGAACGCTTGGGTGCGACCCTGTTAGAGAGAGGGAGAGGGAGGGAGGGA